AGTCTGATAAAACGCTTTGATTTATTAAATGAGTAAAACAGGAAACTCACTTCATGATGCTGTCATGGTAGGCAGTGATATTTGCAGTGGGACAAAACTGCAAGGCGCTCTCCTTGGCCACCTGCAAAACAACAGGAGCAAAGTAACTGACTGAGCCAGAAACGTACAAACGGCACACAGAAAACACTCTCTAACACCATGGAACGCAGATGTTTCTTACAGCAAAAACAGACATTGTGGACAATGAGGTCTTGGTTGGTACAAAAAGACACAGAGATGCAAACCTGGCCCTACATTGTGATTTCAAATTATTCACTGGTCATGTGGCGGGTGATCCCACTTTATTTTTTACGCCAAGCCCAAAATTAACCGCATTTGGTGAGTGTGAGATCAAGGTGTTGATTACCGAGGTACAGGCCAGGAAAGGATAGTATTCGGTAGTGTGTCCTCTGAAATAAACCACAAGTGTAAATCCACGAGTGGCGGAGTGACAAGAGCGGTCAATACAACCGGTACAATAGCAGAATAAAGAAAAATGGTCCGATATCAAGGTGGATGTCAAAAGACGAGTGACTGCACATTGTCAGAGTGTCGCTGCTACATGTGTGGGCTCAGGACAGCCAGAACTGACACCATATAAAGGAGGGGTCGATACAATTAGAAGCCCTTATCTCTGGCATCCTGCCCGTATGTGAGGGCGACTCAGACATGTATGTTACGCCTAGCTGTATGGTAGCTGCACTCGGCTTTGGTGGGCCTGGGTCGGGTAACGGGTTCATACATGCACAGCTCCTGTGGCAGAGGCACGCCACATTTGTGCACCTGGCACTGCGTTTTATTCCTGGGACGATGGATCTGTGCACCTCAGCAGCTGTACAGTCTCAGACGTGCGTTAACATCTCCATGTCCCGTGAAACAGGAAATTGCCATTTTCCATGGCGATCTTGATGTTCGGACAGCGATTAGGGCATTTCATCTGTTTCATTAGCCGGGGGCGCACAATACTGCAACGTAGAGGGTGCCTGTGTATATTTCCTGAGTAGTTTTTTCCATTTATTAGACAAGTTATGGATCGTGGGAATCATTTTCTTCCTGTTTGGGTTTTGGTGTTTGTGATGTTAAACATTATTTACAGAGATGTTCAACCTACCGCAGTGTATCAGTGGACACAATTATAGTTTTTCATAGACATATCCCAGTAACTGGAGTGGAAGCATTATTTAGAAACATCTGGTGAGTTTCAGTACTTTAAAGTTAGAAATTGGTCCCCGATGTTTACATACCTGTGCTTTAGACTTGCCGACATGCTTCTTCTGGAAGAGGAACTGACGGTTCAGATTGCTGACATCGATTGTGTCCAAGTCAATCTGCACAAACCAACAGGGTTGTATGTCACTCATTTATACATGCAATGTGATATTTATGACAGCAAACTGCAATCAACCGGTCAGAAGAGCACCGTCACTGCTTTGCAATTGTATTTTACAATCCACAAATCCACTAGATAGTTAAGGTATTCTCTATACATTTTACAACAGGTATTTAGTTATCTTCTATCTTTTTTAATCACTCACTCAGATGTACTTGCAGAAGCTCCTGTGTTTATATTGCCGTCCTTTACTGTGACCTACACAACTGATTCTTGAAGAGCCTCGTGGCATTCTTTATGACTGAGGATTGTAAAAGAAAAAAAAAAAAAAACTACTTCCTTTACAAAGCAAAGGTCAAACCACTTCGGTCCAAATGGTATTGACAAGACAGAATAATCATCTGCTAATTTTCATCTCTCTCTACTGCTCCCATACTATCACAGATCTCTTCTCTAATTTAACTACAGTACACAACCAAATATCTACTTTACCATAGATGTTCTGAATGTACGTGCCGATTTTGGTAAAACTAGTCTCAGGAACTATCATGCTCATTTTAAATGGAATGACTGAACCACAGACTGCTCACCAGCTACTGTACACAGATAATACAGCTAGTCTTTCATTCTCATTTAAGAGTTTAAGGTCTTACTGACTGATGTTTATGACTGTATCTACTAATCCCATTTGTTTCTTGATTGTTGGTTGGCTTTAGGTGTGTTGTTCTTGTATGCTGGTTGTTTAATTACATAAGTTGCCAGAAGTCATCCATACAGTTTCTGCTTCATCAATAATAACCTGTTATTCAATTCACCAGCACCCTTAAAAAGGACCTCTAGAAGACCTTTAACCCCGCCCTGGGATCCAGTGACAGTCACAAATGCTCGGCTTCAAACATCTCAAAGTTGACCCTCGAAACATAAACATCCACAACTACTAAGTGTATAAGTGCAGCGAACACAAACGCAAATTTCGGAGGCGTCTAGCTTTACTATACAATGTGAAGATATTTGTAGAATAATAATATAACACAACTAAACAAATTGGTGTCCAATTGTGTCTACGGTGTAGATAGCCAGCCGACCGGCTAGCTATCCGTTACAATACAAAGAAGTTGTCCAGCTAACTTAGCAGCATTTAATGGCGCCAAATGCTCCGGCTACATTGCTGCGGCAGGGTTCATATTTTTACTACTTCGTACTCGGGCCTGCCCCTTAAACTATGCACTCGGGGACAGAGGGGATATCAAGAAACCACCACGAGAATTCGTATGTTTTACTTCTTTTAATGCCACGTCTCAGGAGTTAGCCCGAGCCCGCACACCTCCAGGCGTGCAGCACAAAGACCTAGCATGATAGCCAGCTAGCTA